ATTTCCTTTTTTTCCCCCCTATTTCTCTGTATTTTCTTCAAGAACAGGTAATAGTTAAATAATTAAACAAGAATTTATTTTTTGATGTAAATTATGTTATTAGCACTTTTCCTGAATTTCTGTCTTGTAACATTGCATTTGTCCTGCCAACTAAAGAATGTTGCCCACCATCCAGTTCTACAAAAAAATCAAGTCGTTAGCCACTATAGTCTCTGACCTACAATTCACCTTGAGAGGAATTCAGGGTGAAGTTCAGGATGAGGCACTCTGTGTTCTGGGAAAACTGGCAGAACAAGCCCTCAGAAAGTTAGATATTTTCAGGAGAACATTCAGTGAACCAAGATTCTTGCATCTCCCCATACTTAGAAAAGCACTAAAAACATTAACTGAGATACCTGTTTCTTGTGACTAGCAGTAACCTTCTACAAAGATCTGTGCTTGATTGCACGTACTCCTTTTTTTTTTTTTAATTGATGCCTTTTAATTTTTTTTTTTTTTTGCGGTACGCCGGCCTCTCACCAATGTGGCCTCTCCCACCGCGGAGCACAGGCTCCAGACGCGCCGGCTCAACAGCCATGGCTCACGGGCCCAGCCGCTCCACGGCATGTGGGATCTTCCCGGACCGGGGCACGAACCGTGTCCCCTGCATCGGCAGGCGGACTCCCAACCACTGCGCCACCAGGGAAGCCCGATGCCTTTTAATTTTTATTTTTTTCTAATGTTATTGAAGCATAGTATTGATTTACAATGCTTTGTTAGCTTCTGCTGTACAGAAAAGTGAGTCAGTTAAACATACACATATATCCGCTCCTTTTTAGATTCAATTCCCATATAGGTCATTACAGAGTATTGAATAGAGTTCCCTGTGCTGTTCAGTAGGTCCTTATTAGTTAAATATTCTACATATAGTAGTGTGTATATGTCAATCCCAGTATCCCAGTTTATCCCTCCACGGTCCCCTTTCTTCCCTGGTAACCACAAGTTTGTTTCCTACATCTCAACCTCTGTTTTGTAAATAGGTTCATTTGTACCATTTCTTTAGATTCCACATATAAGCAATATGATATGATATTTGTCTTTCTCTGTCTGACTTACTTCAGCACATACTTCTTTGCCAAAATCACATGTATGCAGACCTCCCCACCAGCTTTTCCGAGCAATTACTCAGAACTATCTGAGAGGCTATAGTCCTCAGCAAGTCCCCAAATAAAACTAAAACCCAGGGCTTCCCTGGTGGTGCAGTGGTTGAGAGTCCGCCTGCCGATGCAGGGGACACGGGTTCGTGCCCCGGTCCGGGAAAATCCCACATACCGTGGAGCAGCTGGGCCCGTGAGCCATGGCCGCTGAGCCTGCTCATCCGGAGCCTGTGCTCCGCAACAGAAAAGGCCACAACAGCGAGAGGCCCGCATACCGGAAACAAAACCAAACAAAACAAAACCCACAGCTCTCACATTGTGAGTTTTTACTTCAGTCAACAGTTTCTTTATATCCTGGTACCTGAACAGGGTGTATTGGGCTGAAATTGCAGTGGGCAGTAATTTGAAATTTGTTTTATTAAATTATCTACTTGCCCTTGATTTATTTTTAGTTGTGTCCCAATTTCTTTCAGAGTTATGGTCCACATTAATTTGTATGAGCCTCAGAGAAGCCCTTCATAATAATTTATGTTTTAAATTGCTCTGAGGGGACAAAAGGTGTCTTAGAAGGTAGTATTGTTCTAATTACAAAGCCTTTAAAAATAATCAGAGACAAAGTAACAAGAATTAACTTAATTTGCTTTGGGGCCTCTTTGTTAGGCAAGGTGAGTGCTTTACACCTTAAGCAGAGGGATAATGAGGTGGCATATCAGTGTAGACCTTCTCTCTCTGACATCAATACTTTTACACTATTTTTCTGTAACACAGAACCGTATTGGATCAGGAAATGATGGGGCTGCAAAGGAATGGTTTACTTTTATTTTTTTATTATTTTTTTAACATCTTTACTGGAGTATAATTGTATTACAATGCTGTTAGTTTCTGCTTTGTAACAAAGTGAATTAGCTCTATGTATACATATATCCCCATATCCCCTCCCCCTTGCATCTCCCTCCCACCCTCCCTATCCCACCCCTCTAGCTGGTCACAAAGCACCAAGTTGATCTCCCTGTGCTATGCAGCTGCTTCCCACTAGCTATCTATTTTACATTTGGTAGTGTATATATGTCAATGCTACTCTCTCACTTTGTCCCAGCTTACCCTTCCCCGACCCCGTGTCCTCAAGTCCATTCTCTATGTCTGTGTCTTTATTCCTGTCCTGCCCCTAGGTTCATCAGAACCTTTTTTTTTTTTTTTTAGATTCCATATATATGTGTTAGCATACATATATAGTATTTGTTAGTATTTGTTTTTCTCGTTCTGACTTACTTCACTCTGTATTACAGACTCTAGGTCCATCCACCTCACTACAAATACCTCAATTTTGTTTGTTTTTATGGCTGAGTAATATTCCATTGTATATATGTGCCACATCTTCTTTATCCATTCATCTGTCGATGGACACTTAGGTTGCTTCCATGTCCTGGCTATTGTAAATAGTGCTGCAGTGAACATTGTGGTACATGACTCTTTTTGAGTGATGTTTTTCTCAGGGTATATGCCCGGTAGTGGGATTGCTGGGTCATGTGGTAGGAACTGTTTACTTTTAAAAATTAGTTACTTATTACTTTGTCCTTGAGAGGACTTGAGGTATCTCATTATTTTAAAGTACATTCATCCCAAATTCATCATCCGAACTAAATAGAATGGAGATGCCAGTCAGTCTACAGCCAATCTTGATGAAACTCTCTGTGCTCAGAAACCTGGAATCCTACTTAGAGGTTTCCTTCCTCTTTGCTCCCTTTTATTGTCTTTTTGGAGTCCAGCTTTGTCCTTCTTCATTTCTCTCTATTGTCATGGAGAATTCTGATAAGTGTTTTCTTCTAAAAAAGATAACAACTCAGAACAGAACAGGGTGGGCAAGCTGTGCCTCCCACAAGGGTGATTTAAGGGAGAAAAGGCCTGTTCTCTTTAAAAATCTACAATTAGAGGCACTCTTTGGGAGTAAGATATTGTCTCAAGAAAGCCTCTATTAATTGTAGGTAAGGATTGATACATTGGCTTATTACACCTACTATCATTTCAGCAAGGACAAATTCACTGTCTTAGTCAGCTGTTAACTCAGAAGGTTGTTAGACTTTTATGGTATTAATCTTACACACACACACTTACACACGTACACAATTTGAGCAGCTTTGGTCATCCAGCCCAGTACTTAGCATATTGTAGCACAACAAATACTTTCGTATATTTTTATTAAGTTAATGGGCAGGTGAAGAAGAAAGGCTGTAGTGTGTTCTTTGGGGAGATGGTTGACACAGGTGTGTGTAGGGTCTGGATATGAAAGCTACCCAGGGTTAAAAAGTTTTGATGCAAGGATGAATACATTTCTCAGTCACTAATTTCTAAGTCACTAAAAAAAAAGTGAAACGGATAAAAACATCCTGACTTGGAATATATTCGTCTTATTTCATTGAGTTTTCAACTGCTCAGATATATCTTAAATTTTTTAATAAATAAATTGGTGCCCTAAAGAGTCACAAAAACATTCAGTGAGTGTAAGAGTGATTTCTGCCTTTTTTTCTACTCTTTTTTTTTTTTTTTAGATCATCAAAACTCTTAAGGATTTTGGAAGGATGATAATAATATGGCGAATTTTGTATATATTTTAAGTTTCTCTATCTGGATGCATCAGATTCCAGGTAACTTCAATGACACACAGCAATAGAAATTTACAAGGGCCTCAAAGAGTTAACAGATTTTTCAAACCTGGACAAATTCTACTGATCCTCATCTCAACGGTATACTTAGCTTATTTACATATTATAATTAGTATTTTTTAAAAAAGAAAACAACCGTTCAGAAAAACGAAGATGGGAAGCCAAAGCCAGAGGCCTTAAAGCAGTTTGGTTTTTTGTTTTTGTTTTAAATCGTATTGACTTAGCAGGAAGAGTTCAAACACGCTCACAGCGTAGGAAATAATCAGACCCAAGTGACCCACTTAGATGGGAAGAAAAAGTAATTTGCTTGGCATCTCCCAGATTGTTTTAAGAACCGTAGTAAAAAACAAAACGAGGAGGAATGTTTCAGAAGCCAATTCGGAGCCCAAACCCAAACCAAAAATCGAACCTGAGACTTTATAAGGGTGAGCAGAGCAATGGGCGGTAAAGGAAAACAGCCGATGGCTCCTCGGAACAAACCTGGGCAGGGCGGGCAGGAGACGCCCCCGCCAGGGAGACCCTCGCTCGGTTTTCAGAAAGATGCTTCAGAAGCTCCATTTCCCTGCGGTTTCCACCCCCGGAGGCTGCAACCTCTGGTCGCGGGGCGGTGGGGACCGAAAGCCCGGGAAGGAGACCGTGGAGGGGACGACGGGACGCGAGCGCGAAGCGGGGCGGGAGAGCGTGGCCCGCGGGCCGCCCCTGCTGTTGTCCGGGGTGCTGAAAAGCCGGGGACGTCCCGGGCGGCGGCAGCCACTGCTCCCTCCCTGAGGGCGGGGGGGGGGTTCAGGCTGAGCACTTGCTAAGCCCGTCCTGGCCCGGGGCCTGGAGGTGCCCACCAGGAGGCCCTCCCCGGACCCTGCTGGGGTACATGTTGGGAGGCGGAGAGCATCTCGGATGCCCCTTCCCCGCCGCTCCGGGTAGCCCCGCGCGGCGACCCCGCTCCACCTGAGCGCTGACTCTCGCCGCCCGGCGCCGCTGCGCCCGCGGGCTGAGCGCGCAACCAGCCGGGGCGCGGGGGGAGGGTGCGGGACATGGGGGCGAAAGCGGCGCCGGTCCCGGGATTGGGGGGTGGAGGCGATTGAGAGCGGGGCATGCGCAGTGGGGCGGAGGAGGTGGCGATGGCCAGGGGAGGCGGGGGGACTGCTGTTTATTTGCAGCTGGGCCAACTCGGCGGCGCAGGCGGCGGCGGAGCGTGGGGCGCTAGCGGCAGGTCCAGCTGCCGCCGACTATGCCCGAGCCCACCTCCGGGCAGCCGCCGCGCGCCGCCCGGTCCCCGGCTGGGGACGATGCCAGACGCCCGGGAGAGGCCAGGGCAGCGGCGGCGGCGCGATGGTAGTGACAAGCTCTGCCCGAGGCGGCGGCGGGGACCGCGCGCCCTCCAGGCGGCGGGGCTGCGGACTTTCGGCGCCTGGGGCCGCGGCGCTGCTGGTCGGGGCGAGCTGCCTGTGCTACGGCCGCTCCCTGCAGGGCGAGTTCGTGCACGACGACGTGTGGGCGATCGTCAACAACCCCGACGTGCGGCCCGGCGCCCCGCTGCGCTGGGGCATCTTCTCCAACGACTTCTGGGGCAAGGGCATGGCCGAGAACACCAGCCACAAGTCCTACCGGCCGCTCTGCGTCCTCACCTTCAAGTGAGTCCCTCACCCCTTGCTCGCGGCCGCCGCCGTTTCTCCTCAGCCCCAACCCGGGCTGGGAGAAGTTGCGGGACTGGCTTGGGGGCCGTTTCTTTTCTCGCCGCCCCTTCCCCTCCACGCCTCCCTCCTCTCCAGGCTGCCCACGCCCCTCTGCTCAGTGGTCCTCCGCCCGGATGCTTGGGGCTCCCGGGGCGGTTCAGGAGGCGCGGGCCGGGACTTGGAATTGAGTTTCTCGAGAGTCTGCACTCTGGGCGGGCTGGTCTCTGGGGCCAGGGCTGGGAGGGGTCTGGTGGAGCCCACCCGCCTCCGCACAGCTCACCCCCGTGGTACGGTGGCCAAATGAGACCAGCGCGGGCCCAACGAGCTCCGGGCGGGTGGCTGTGGTGGTGAAGCTTCGAAGTTGGGGGTTTCTCAGCGGCTGCTGGTGAGCTGTGCGGACGGGGAGTGTGTCAGCTCCTTGGGAGTCGTGAGCTGCCAGGGCTGGCGTGGGTTTGGGGAGGAGCAGCACAGCGGGCAGAGGCGCTCTCCCGACCTGCAGACTTGGCTGCTCCTGGAGCCTCGCCGATCTTCGGGAAGGGCTCCAGATTTAGACTTTAAAAGGTGCAAAGGAAGGCAGGAAAGCGTGGGATCCTCTGGGGGTCCTGGCGTCCCAGTTGAAGTAGTGTTTCTTTTACAATCTCGGAGTCATGATTCAGCATTTCAAGTGTGAATAAGGTGCAAAGGGAATCGGGAGAACGCCAGGGTTTTGCGGGCTGGAGTATTTTCTTGAATTTAAAAGACGGCTAGCTTCAGGTGGAAGGGGAGAAAGGCTGATGCCAGGGGAGTGCTGGCTCGCGCGTCATGAGCTTGACTCAACTCCTTATAATTTGGCTCAGCATTTAAGCTTAAAATGTGCTGGACAGAACTGTTGAAATAATATTGGTTCAGTAACATCAGCGTTTTAAGCATTTTCCAACGGGTGTAATATGAACCCGTCTTTGTGGTACTGGTCATTCGAGACAGGGTAAACAGCTTGAAAAGCCTGCCCAGGCCGGGAGGCCGAGGTCTCTTGACAGGTGGCTGATAACTTAGAAAAGGAAACCAGAGCGATTGTACTTAATTCTTCAACTGAAAGTTGAATGTTTTAAGGCGGGTGAGGAAATAGCACATTTGACTCTGAAGAGAGTATTTTATAAACATTTATCCTTTTGGAAAGCGGTTTTGTTTTTCAGCTGAAAGATAATCTCAGCTACTAAGTTGCTCAGTCCGTTTTCTCCCTAAATGTTTCTTAAAATGGCACATTCTTAGATGGCACGATATGTGTATAACTTCTAAATTGACCTGCTTTTTCATTTATTACAGAGGTTTGTTGATTAGTTTAAGGTGTGGTAGCTCACAGCATGAGGTGTGCTGGGCTTATAACAGCCACGGAGACCATCTAGGTCCCTCCTCTGAGCTTTTTCCATGTACAAAGATCAGGGTCAAATGCCTGTGCCCACTTGGTGGAGGGTGGGGAAGAGTGTCTTCACTTCTTGACTTTCTAAAAAAAAAATTTTTTTTTAATTCGTGCAGGAGGTGGCAGGGACAGAAGAGAGAGAAGGGGAGGAAAGGAGTAGACAGTGAGGCAAGGCCGTTGATGAAGAGGAAAGCAGGCGGTTGTGCAGAACAGGGGCAAAGGAGAAGGAGAATTGAGGGGGCAGGGGGCACCTCTTCATTTATGATGCTCACTGGTTATAAAAAGCAGCCTGGTTGCTAAGATGCATTGCTCTTTGCAGAGTGTGTCTTACTGGCTGTGTAAGATATGCCTTTTTTTTTTGAGATTGAGTTACAAGTCTAGGGTGCACTAACTGGAAAGTAATAGTGCCTCTTCAGAAAGAGAAATTTAACTAACCTTTCTGTACTCACAGGCATTGATTCGAATAAGATGTGGAGGCTTTCTCATCACAGTCACCTGAGGTGAAACTGCATCTTCCAGCGCAATAGCGTGAGGATGGGCATGTATAAGGGACGCCGTTAACGATGTTAGGCCCACACAACTCTGAAGATTGTTGTAAGGAAGGACAGAAAATCACATTTATTAACTATTCAGTGTGAACCAAGCATTGGCCTAGGAACTTTACATAGATCATGACTTTAATGATTTTTATTTTAGGTAATCGGTGAAAACACAAAGTGGCCTTTGAAATATATTCAAACTATCTTAACTGTATCTTAAGCTTGTTTGAGCAGAAATTTTGAGAATTGAAAACCATTCAATTAATTAATGATTAATTTTGTTGTAAGAACACCTAACGAGATCTGCCATCTTAAATTTTTAAGTGCACAATACAGTATTGTCAGCTATAATGTTGTACAGCCGCTCTGTAGCACTTATTCCTCTAGTATAATTGAAACTATATACCTGTTGAACAGTAACTCTTGGTGCCCCTCTCCTCTCATCCTGCCCTTGGCAACCACCATTTTACTATCTATTTCTATGAGTTTGACTACTTTAGGTACCTCACATAAGTGGACTTCTGCGACTGGCTTATTTCACGTAGCGTAATGCTCTCCAAGTTCTTCCATGTTGTTGCACATTGCAGGATTTCCTCCTTTTTAAGGCTGAATAATATTACATCGTGTATATATATCACTTTTCTTTATCCATTCATCTAACGATAGACACTTAGGTTGTTTTTATATCTTGGTTATTGTGAATAATGCAGTGAACACGGGAGTGCATATATCTCTTCAAGATCCCGATTTCAATTCTTTTGGATATATACCCAGAAGTAGGATTGCTGAATCATATGGTAATTGTATTTTTAATTTTTTGAGAAAACTCTATCCTGTTTTCCATGGTGGCTGCACCATTTTACTTTCTAGCCAATAGTGTACAAGGGTTCCAAATTCTTCACATCCTTGCCAATGCTTACCTCTTTTTTTTCATAAAAGCCAACCTAACAGGAGTGAGGTGATAACTCATTGTGGTTTTGATTTGCATGATTAGTGCATGATTTGCATGATTAGATTTTGATGATTAGTGATGTAAGCATCTTTCCAAGTACCTATTGGCCATTTGTATGTCTTCTTTGGAAAAATGTCTATTCAAGTTCTTTGCCCATTCTAAAATCAGGTTATTTACTTTCTTCTGCTTTAAGTTGTAGGAATTCCTTATGTATTTTAGATATTAACAACATATCAGATATTTGGTTTGCACATATTTTCTCCTCTTCTGTAGGTTGCCTTTTCACTCTGTTGATTTGTTTCCTTTGCTGTGCAAAGGCTTTATGGTTTGATGTAGTCCCACTTGTCTAATTTTGCTTTTATTGTTTGTACTTTTGTTATCACATCTAAGAAACCACTGCCAAACCTAACATCATGAAGTTTTTCCCCTGTGTTTTTCTTCTAGGAGTTTTATAGTTTCAGGTCTTACATATAAATTTTTGATACATTTTTGGGTTGATTTTTGTGTATGTTGTAAGATAAGGGTCTAGTTTCATTCTTTTGCATGTGGATAACCAGTTTTCCCAATACCATTTATTGAAGAGACTGTACTTTCCCCGTTGTGTATTCTTGGAACCCTTGTTAAAGATCATTTGACACATATATGTGGGTTAATTTCTCTATTCTTTTCCATTGGTCTATATGTCTGTTTTTATGCCAGTACTGTACTGTTTTAATTACTGTAACATTGGAATATATTTTGCAGTCAGGAAGTGTGGTACCTTTAGCTTTGTTCTTCTTGATCTATTCAGGTTCTTTTGTGGTCAGTATGAAATTTATGATTTTTTTCTTTTTCTGTAAAAAATGCCTTGGGATTTTGATAGGGATTACATTGAATCTGTAGATGGCTTTGGGTGATATGGACATTTTAACAATATCAAGTCTTCCCATTCATGAACATCGGATGTCTTTCCATTTATTTGTGTCTTTAATTTCTCTCATCAGTGATTTGTAGTTGTAAGTGTATACGTTTTTCATCTCTTTGGTTAAGTTTATTCCTAAGTATTTGATTCTTTTTGATGCTATAGTAAATGAGATTGTTTTCTTAATTTTGGATAGTTCATTCTTAGTGTATAGAAATATGGCTGATGTTTGTATGCTGATTTTTGTATCCTGCAACTTTACTGAATTTGTGTATTAGTTCTGATAGATTTTTGGTGGCATCTTTAGGGTTTCTGCATATAAGATCATGTCATCTGTAAACAGTGATAATTCTACTTCCTCCTTTCTGATTTAGATATCTTTTATTTATTTTCCTTGCCTAATTGCTCTACCTAGGACTTCCAGTTCTATGCTGAATAGAAATGACAAGCGTGGGCATTCATGCCTTGTTCCTGATCTTAGGAGGAAAATTTTCAGTTTTTCACTGTTGAATATGATGTTAGCTGTGGCCTATTCATAAATGTTCTTTATTATGTTGAGGTAAATTTCCTATAAACCTAGTTTGTTGAGAGTTTTTTACCATTAAAGTGTGTTGAATTTCATCAGATGTTTTTTTCTGCATCTATTTACGATGATCATGTGATCTTTATTGTTCACTTTGTTAATGTAGTGTATCACATTAACTGACTTGCGTATGTTGAGCCATCTTGGCACCCCAGTGATAAAAGCCATCATGGTGTATGATTTTTTTTAATGTGTCGTTGAATTTGGTTTGCTAGTATTTTGTTGTGGATTTTTGCATCTGTGTTCATCAGGGAAATTGGCCTATACTTTTCTTTTCTTGTAGTGTCTTTATCTGGCTTTGCAAACCCATTTTTTAAAAAACACGTTGAATTTTGAGATAATTGTACATTCCCATGCAACTGTAAGTAATAATATAGAAATCCGTCATATCCTTTATCCATTTTCCCTGGTGGTAACATCTTGCATAACTATAGTACACAGTCACAACCAGGGGGTTGACATAGATACAATCCACAGTTTTTATTCAGGTTTCATCAGTTTTACATATATTCTTATTCTTCTTGTTGAATGTATATTTAGTCTATGCAGTTTTATCATGTGAGCCTACCATCTCAGTCAAGATATAG